TCTTTCTGGTAAAGGACCCTCTCTGAGCTCGCTCAAGGGCCTGCTTCCTTGTCAGTTTGTACTTGGTGTGCCACTCCTGGCCCTGGCATTGAGTTCATCCTCATAAACTTAAGGTTGTAGAGTTATCCCATATGGCTCCCAGCATCATGTGGATAGAAGCTCCTTGAAGGCCTTTGTGGCCCAGTATGAGATGAATAGCCATGATTAGCTGGGAGATTTGTTCTACCTGCAGACACACATGTTCCTTGAAAAGTGCTTCCCTATATTCCTTAGAAATAAGGACTTTTTTTTTTTTTGAAAGAGCTTGCCATCAAAGCATGAGGATCCAATTTCAATCCCCAGCACTTAGATAAAAATTCAGCTGTGGTTATATTGTCGCGTCATCTCAGTGAGGTAGAAAGGGGCTCACTAGGTGCTGACCCTAGTCTAGTCCTGGGTCCTAGTGTCAAATAAAATAAGGTAAATCCTAATGTATTTGAAAAATATAGTCTATTTACTGAGTGTAACTAACTACAAATTAATTTGCAGGAGATGTTGCAGTAAAGATCCTAAAGGTGGTTGACCCAACCCCAGAGCAGCTCCAGGCCTTCAGGAACGAGGTGGCTGTCTTGCGGTGAGCCCACCCCTAGAAGCAGCAGGGTTGGGTAGGGCCGGGTTGTGCAGGTCAGCACCTGCTGTGGGTTCTGAGGGATGCTCCTTTAAGGAGGAGGGAACTCCTTCCAGCATTATGTGCTGGAAGCCAGAAGAGCCCTATGCATGGACATACCTCATCTCTGTAATCAATACTCAACAGTCCAGCTGTGTGGGGTTTGGCGCGTGGTAGGGGAATTGTTTTTCCAGGCATCTTTTTATAGCTAGTCTGCTTTGCTCTGGAGCCCAAGCCCTAGCTAGCCCTAGCTACTGAATCACTCTTAGGTTTGTAGGGATGATCTGGACAGGGGTGGATTCCACAGATGAGGGGTCCTGTGCAGAGAGCATCCTCTGTAGGCAAGGCCAGCATGGAGGTGAATGAAGGCTGGGCTTCAGCTGACTGCAGGCAGTGCTCTCATAGTTGTGCTTTCCCTGCTTCTCCTTCCCCCAGCAAAACACGGCATGTTAATATCCTGCTGTTCATGGGGTACATGACAAAGGACAACCTGGCCATTGTGACCCAGTGGTGTGAAGGCAGCAGTCTCTATAAACATCTGCATGTCCAGGAGACCAAATTCCAGATGTTCCAGCTAATTGACATTGCCCGACAGACAGCTCAGGGAATGGAGTAAGTAGACAGTTTGGTGAGTCCTTGTGGGAGCTGAACTGAGTGGCACCTGGGTGGGCTCTTCGACACTGGATGATGCACGGGAACTCTAAAGCTCCCATTCCTCATCAGCCAGGCCTAGCCACTGTTTGTAGGAACCTTGGGCCCAGGCAACAGGAACGCCCTCTGCTCACCAGTACTTCTGTCAATTAAAAAATTGTGTATATTTGTGTGGGTCTGTGTGTAGATGTGTGCACACGTGCCAGTACTCAGGAGCTGGAGTCATTCATGAGCTGCCTGATGTGGGTGCTGGGACGTCTTTGGATGAAATGTGTGGTAAAAATTATGGCATCTTCCCTATTTTTTTGTTTGCAAACCCTATCCAAGTTGCAGTATGCAGGGCGAATTGCTACCCAGTTAGCTGATGGGCAGTGAGGCTTTTGAGTGAAACTGTCAGTGCATTTACACTGTCTGTACCCTTTCTATAGGTGACAGGCTTGGGCTGGGAAGACAGGCTCCTGGGTGCCTAATAGTTAACTGATTTTTCTCCCTCACAGCTATTTGCATGCAAAGAACATCATCCACAGAGACATGAAATCCAACAGTATCCTTTGGTATCAAGTTCTCAGCTTAGGGACCCAAAGGATCCCTTTTCTCACATATGGTTCACAGTGCTTGGGGAGAGCTTCTTAAAGGAAAACACATGGGCCTACTGCAGCCTCCAGTGACTGTATCCACAAGACTTCCTTAAAGTCTTTTTTCCCCAACAGTGATCTGGAAACAATTCCTTTTAGAGTGGAGATACAAAATTTAAACTCAGTGAATTATACAAAATCTTCTTGAGATACTGTTGTACATACAGAAGAGAAAGTAACTACAAGCCAGATTTTCAAGATTTTGGATTTATTTCCCATCCTCTGATGCACTGCTCGATGTGTTACCAGCAAGTCCAAAGTGGTTGCTGCCTCTTGCTCAGCCATTCATACAGTAGATCAATGTATTTGGTGGAAGACACAGATATGAAGATCCTTTCAAACTAAGTTATGACACAGGGCAGGAGAGCTAAAACATCCTTGTGGTAAAACTGTAAAGGTATATTATTGGTCTTGCCAACTGAAAGCAAATTGTTTCTAGTGGTTCTTGGACAGGTACCAAGAAAATGCTAGATCAATAGCTGCACATCATGTACCAAGAAGTGTGTTAACTGAAATAAAGACACCACACCTTGTATAGTAACTCTATAAAATTCCAGGGATGTGACTTTGTTTTTTGGCTATTTTCCCTGGCAAAGGCCAACTCTGAAAGCTTTTATGTAGTCTTTCCAACCATAACAGCCCTCACTGCAGTCAGGGAACCATTGTGAGAACTCTGGCAATTGGGATAGTAGATCTGCTCTCATTATACATTCTGGGACTGGAACTACTGTGACTACTTTAGTAAAAAACTCCACTAATCTCCTGACCTCCGCAAAAGGGCCATGTTTCTTGTGGGTCCCCTGGAATCGGTGTCAATTCAGATTGTTTCCTTTTCTCCACTGTTCAAGATCTGAAATTGCTACATGTTGTCCTGGAATGCACAGGAGTCAGCCTAGAGTCCACTGTTAGAAACCGTATTCCTTGTTCCTCATACCAACTGTGCACCTTTTATGCTGTGAGACGGTACATGGTGTGGCAGTGTTAAGCTTAGCTGTGCTGAATGTCTGTGCTGGATTAGTGGCCATGACCACTTTGTTACACTTTCCTGAAGTAAGATTTTTGTTTTTTTAGCAGCTAGGCAATGCTCTTACATATTAGCACAGATGTAAGGTTTGAACTCCCATGGACCAGCAGGTCACAAAGTTAGACCAAAATGACCATTACCCAGATGTGAGCTGATGGAAGTCACAGGTAGACCAGTTCCAGCAGGTATTTTAAAGGAAACATTTGGTGCTGAGTGCGAGTGCCACATGTAGGTGAACAGTCTGGGGTCCTGCCTTCTGGAAGATAACTAATTTCAGAATTTGATTTAGTAGCGAGGTGAAGGAGGTAGAATGAATGCTAAACTGTCAGTCTCCTTAACAAGCATTGAGATATATTTCTCCATGAAGGCCTCACGGTGAAAATTGGAGATTTTGGTTTGGCAACAGTGAAGTCACGCTGGAGTGGTTCTCAACAGGTTGAACAGCCCACTGGCTCTGTACTGTGGATGGTGAGGAAGCTGGCCCCGAGCTGGGTGCATACCAGTTTCGGGAATTTGGTTGATCCCTGGTATCAGCTTAAGGCAACAGAGGCCAGAGCCCGGGGGTTTAATCTTTGGGGAAGAGCTACCCTGAGCTAAGGCCTGGACTCCCTCTGACTAGTTGGCTCCTGAATGTCTCTGGAGCCCATCACCCAGATACTAACATACTTTGTCCTCATAGGCTCCAGAGGTAATCCGAATGCAGGATAACAACCCGTTCAGCTTCCAGTCTGACGTCTACTCCTATGGCATTGTGCTGTATGAGCTCATGACCGGGGAGCTTCCCTACTCGCACATCAACAACCGAGATCAGGTGATCTGCACAGGGCCTGGCAAAGCAGCGAGGGGCTGTGAGTTTCAGTGTTCAAACGAGTTTGCTCAACTGTTTCCTTCTTTAGATCATTTTCATGGTGGGCCGTGGATATGCTTCCCCAGATCTTAGCAGGCTCTACAAGAACTGCCCCAAGGCAATGAAGAGGTTGGTGGCGGACTGTGTGAAGAAAGTAAAAGAAGAGAGACCTCTGTTTCCCCAGGTTAGCTCAGTAGTTCAAATATGATTGTATTCTGAGCATGCAGATGTGGTGGGGAGTGGACCTTCTGTGTTCCACAAGCTCTTGTGTGCTTTGGACACTTGACTGAAAGGTATGGCTGGGGAGATACCAAGTCCATCTAACCCGAGCACACTGGGGCCTTGTTTCAGATCCTGTCTTCCATTGAGCTGCTTCAGCACTCTCTGCCGAAAATCAACAGGAGTGCCTCTGAGCCCTCTCTGCATCGGGCGGCCCACACGGAGGACATCAATGCTTGCACGCTGACCACATCGCCGAGGCTACCGGTCTTCTAGCTGATGTAGCTGTCCTTAGGCCACCAGGGGAAGAAGAGTCAGCAGGCACCACCACTTTGTTTCCTTGGGGGCAGAATGCATGTTTTCAGAGAAGCTGCTGCTAAGGACCTAGACTACTCACAGGGCCTTAACTTCATGTTGCCTTCTTTTTTACCCCTCCTGCCCTGGGAAAGGAAGCTGTCCACCATGCTAGCCTGCTCTGATCCAGAGGTATACAAGTCAGCTGAGTATTTTTAGGACAAGAAAATGGCCTTGGAGAGAAGTCAAAGTGGCTCGCACTCTGGCTGCTGCAGGGACGTGCAGTCGGGAACTTGGCTTGCTGAGCCCATCTGCTGCAGGGCACAGACAGTGGTGCAGTGCCAGTGCCAGTTTTGCACATGGAGTCCTGGCCACCTGGGGGAGCCTGCTTTGGTACTACAGAACTTCACTTTGTGAATCGTGTCTAAGGTGTTCTGTGTGGACGGCTTTCCAAGAGCGGTGCTCCACCTTCGGGTAGCCTCCCACACGCTGAATCTGTCTTCCAGGAGCTGCCCCTATGGGGTGGGCTGCAGCCCAGCCTATCTCTAGTCACATCTTTGTCTGTAAGAAAGCCAGGAATACAGGTTTTCTTAATGATTTGGGGTCTTAATTTTGTTTTTATTGCGCCTGACAAGATACAGTTATCTGATGGTTCCTCAATTATGTTATTTTAATAAAATAAATTAAATTTAGGTTTAATGGCTACTGACTCCTTCAAAAGTAATAATGATTTCACAGCACGGACACCTACTTGTTTCTTGTTTGAGGGTCTGTGCTGTGTGAGCCTTCTCTGCATTTACATGAACAGCCAAGCAAAAAGCACACAGGTTTAAGGAGCATACCCACACTATAAGGAGTGAGCACATTTATAAAATATTTGATATCTACAGGGCTTTTTACAAAAATAAATTCAGGCTTAGAACAAACTTGCTCTGAATTACAGTGTTATACACAGTATTACATTTACAGGCTGTTTTGGCCTCATGTCCCCTCAGATACAAGTGACTACTGGGTCAGGACCTCAAAAACAGTGTCGAGCCTACTTTACAGGAGAATGGGCAGTCTGAGTGTGACACCTCAGTGTCTTACGCTCACTGCAAGGGGAAGATGGTGATGGGGTTTCCCTGGAGACCTTTACCGACAGGAGCCACCCTTTAACTGTCAACTGCACATCCCCGCTGACTTGGGGCTCTGGAGGGACCCGATCAAGCCTGACCATCCTCAGAGAAGTAGCCGTCGTCTACACTATGGTGCAGCAACACGACCATGGTGACCATGTGCTCTCCAGAGCTGCATAAATAAATCCAAAGGCTCACAGCAGCTACATTAGAGATGAGATGGTCGCTGCAGAGGAGCCCTCCACAGGGCTGGCGACACCTTGATTAAGAGAAACTGATCTGCTCCTTTATGAGCAGCTCCAAGTTTACTGTTACTTAAGGAAGAAAGTCACAAAAGAAAAGATGGCGGTTGGGTTTCATTTAAAAGCAATCAATTAAAACAGCTGGACCACGTAGCTGGTCCCCGAGAAAGGGGCTGGAGGTACAACAACTAAGAGCTCAACTCTAAACGTAGTGATTCCATGGACTTGGTTATCTTATGTCCTTCCCTTCACCAGGGCTGTGAAAGTGGAGCATGAAGAGACCAAGGGGATTCGCTGCCACTCACATCCAGGTACGCCACCTTGTCAGTGGCAGGCTACAACCTGCCTTGGAAAGCTGTGACCGCAGAGCCCAAAATGAAGGTGTCAGCACTGAGTCTAGGTCTCTGATGGCTCTACTCCAGAAAGGTGCATGAAGAGGTCTCCAAGCTCCGTCACGTCGACATCCTCTGTGCTGGGGACCTGCTGGGTTTCTCGATTTTCGATAAAATCCCAAAGCCGCACTGAGTTGAAGAACTGCAAAAACAGCCAAAAAGCACACCTGGGTCAGTGGAGATGACAGCAAACTCTGAGTGCCAGCTTGCTTTGCTTTTGTTGACCCCACTGCTCTGCTGCCAAAGCTATTAGGAGGGGTCTGGGCAGTAACTAGAATTATCCCAAATCTTCCCTAACCAGCTTACCCTCACGGTGCCTTCAGAACTCAGCTGCTTCCGAGGTTTCTCTGGCTCTGCCAGCCGCCCATCAGGGTAAGCATGGCGGTAAAGGCACTTGCTTCCAAAGGGACAGGTCCCCTTGCCTTGTTCAAAGTATTTACATGCCTTTTTCCTGAAAAGCACACACACAAAATAAATGAATGAATGATGAAAGAATCAGAGGCTGGTGGAAAACTGAAGTTCAGCTACAGTCTTCCTGCAGCCCCCCCTGTGACACTGGGGAAACCTAGGCTAGTAGACGTGAAGTGGGATTCTGATTTCCAAGCTGGACAATGCTGCTGGGATGCACTGCATGGAGGCTGTAGTGCTCTGAAGCAAGGGCAGCCCTTCTCCCAGTCCCAGCAGCTCCAGGGCCAAGTGAGGCTTAGTTACTTCAGGTGCCGAGGTCTGAGGCTGATTTGCGTGCTCTGCTCAAGTCTCCCAAGTGAATTTAGTTCTTTCCTCCTGGTCAGGAATCCTGTCACAGCAGGAGGCAGCCTAGTAAAGCACGTCTTAGATGCTAAAGCTATAGGTACCTTCTACTTTTAGAACCTATCCTAACTCTTCCTTGTCCCTTTGGCCGCCTCCACTGTTCTGGGATTTTATTTTTTATAGCTTGGACATTAAGGTCTCTCAGGGTCCTTCAGTAGCTTCAGAACTGCCTTCTCAGTGGGCATGGTGGCCTACATCTGTAATCCCAGATCTCAGGAAACAGAAGCAGGAAGGTTGCCACAGTTTTGAGGCCAGCCTAGTCTATAAAAAGCTCTAGCCAGTCAGGGCCCATATCAAAACAAACCCCTTGGATGGTGTGGCACACACCTTTAATCCCAGCACTCGGGAGGCAGAGGCATGAGGATCTCTATGAGTTTGGATCTCTGCGTTTGATGCCAGCCTGGTCTACAGAACTAGTTCCAGGACAGCCAGGGCTACACAGAAACCCTGTCCAAAAACAAAACCAACCAGCCAAACAAAAACCAAAAAAGAAACAAAACCAACCAACCCACAAACGAAAACCCTGCCGTCCCTAGGCTCCACTCTCACATGGCTTTCCCTTTTCTCCTCCAGCCCTATCTATCTGCCTACAAAAGTCAAAAGCTCCACCTTGGTTACCTCACTTGGTGTTCTCTGCTCTCACATCCATCTAAGCTATTGACAAAACTCCCAAACCCACTGTCCCATTACCAGGGACAGTCTTCCTTGACATCCCCCCTTTCCCACTAGTAAGTCTCCAGCCTAGCCCACAAGGACAGGGTATTCAGGACCACATGGCTTTCTTCTTGCACCCAAGGTGGCCCCAAGTGCTTCCTCTGTTCTGGCATAAGGCACTAATGAAGAAATCTGCCACCACACTGGCCTATCACACTTTGATGAGAGATGATCTCATCTCTGTTCCCTGGTGGCACTTGGCAGAAGTTCATGTTCTGGAGACTGCTCAAGAACATCCACCAAAGGGACACACTGCCACAGCCAGGCAAGGTCAACAGTACTGGAAAGCCTTCTAAACAGCAAAGCAACTTTCTAAGCCCAGCCAGCTCTGTCCTGCTCCATCTGCCCTCTTGTGGATGGACAATCATATGACACAGGGGAAAATGGTAAAGTGGGTAAATATTAGGTACAGTGATATTTCATTTGTATTTTAATAAATAAAGCTTGCCTGAAGGCCAGCAAGTAAAACAGCCACCCTGGTCAGCCTTACAGACCAGGCAGTGGTGACACACACCCTTAATCCCAGTTGCCACACTAGTCTGCCATAGAAACCAGGCGGTAGTGGTGCACACCTTTAATCCCAGCACTAGAGAGGAATATAAGACGGGAGGAGACAGCTTTCAGTCAGTCTCATTCTGAGATTCCTGGAGGCAGGATCACCATTTCTGACTGAGGTAGAGGTGAGAGCCACTGACTGGCTGCTTTGCTTTTTTGGTCTTCAGGTTGAATCCCAATATCTGTCTCTGGGTTTTTATTAATCGTGCTACAATGAAGCTATAGTAATTATATAAATACAAAAATTTGCAAAACAAATAACAGGTAAAAAGCAAGAAAAAAATTGATTTTTGGCTAGTTATGATGGTGTATGAGTTCTAGGCCAGCCAAGGCTACACAGTGAGAGTGGGTCTCAATAAAAACAACAGAAGAATAAAGGAGCAGATGGGAACGGGGCAGATGGGTAAGGGGAGGGGTGTGAGGGGAGGAGGGGAAACTGGTAGGTATGAAGAATAAACAAAAAAAATGTTATTTAAGTAAAAAAAAACCTTTAAAAGTGGGCTTTAAATGGCAACTCTGATGTTGCCATATGGGCTTTGTAATAATGTAAACAGAACATACATTTTATAAGGCAATAGGAATATTCTCATAGAATATTCCTTCTTTTAAAAAGAAGCCAGGCATGGTTGTACATGCCTGTAATCCTATCACTAGGGCAGCTGAGGCTGAAGACCGAGGTCAGACTAGGCAACAAAATGTGCTGCCATGACAAGTACACGGGGGTCACTTCTCATCTGCACTTCAATTAAGGCGGGGCGCCTTTGCTTTATTCACTTGACTGCTCAGTGTTTTCCTTTCCTAGAGTGTGAGCTGTGTGAGGCTGGCGCTGTCAGCTTGAGCGATGTCCCCTGCAATGGACAAGGCCTGTGAGATGGCAGACCCTCAACAGGTTCTTGTTCAATGCTTGGACAATCAGAGGAGTCACATTAACCTCAGCACCAGGGCTCACCGTAGAACCTGTCTGCCCAGCAAAGTGCCTGACAGGAGTAAGAAGCTCTGATATCCATCCACCGGGTCCACACTCTTGGGAAACCTGAAGATGACAGAAGCTCAAACCACACCCAGCCATGGAGGTACCAGAATCCCCAATGAAATCAAGGCACTTACCCCATTCCCTGTTTGAAAGCTTCAATCAATTCATTCTTTTTATTCTGATCTTCTACCCAGTACACACTTGGAATTACAAACTCTGATATCACACGGCATTCTGGACAAGACCTGAGGAACAAACAAATCAAGTTTGTAAGGGAGAAAATAAATCATGAATCCTTTGCACATTCCACTCCGAAACCCCTTGCTCAAATGTATGGCCAGAGATATAAGCACCATTATCTAAGAGCAGCTTGTGCTGATGAAAACATTCGACTTAATAAGAAACAGAGATTTGAGGCCGGGCGGTGGTGGCGCATGCCTGTAGTCCCAGCACTCAGGAGGCAGAGGCAGGGGGATCTCTGTGAGTTCGAGGCCAGCCTGGTCTACAATAGCTGGTTCCAGGACAGGCTCCAAAAGCCACAGAGAAACCCTGTCTCAAAAAACAAACAAACAAGCAAACAAAAAAAAAAAAAAGAAAGAAAAAAAAGAAACAGAGATTGGCGCATTCATCTGGGATAGCCAATAAGTACACAACAATACTCATTATCCTCAGTGTACCGAAGACGAGATGACAGTGAGATACACTTTACTCCTGTAAGTGTTGGAGAGGATGTAAAGAAACTGAAATCTCTATCAGCAGCTAAGAGTAGGAAATGGCTTCAGTTAAAGGCCAAGCTACCATGAAGCTCCTGGGATCTACATGAGTGCTCACTAGCTAGTGAACAGGTTACAAGCTGTTCTCAGAGAACTCACCCACACAGCATGCTCATCAGGGGTGGCCCTGGGAACATTCGCTAAGGCAAAGGCCATGTAAATGACAGGCAGAGTAAGGGATTTATAGAGAAAGAACCTAGGCTGGAGGCTGCCTGACAGAAGACAACAGGAACGGGCAGGTGGCAGTCCAGGTTGGGGATGATGAAGTTTCTAAAACTAGGCTCATGTCAACAGCAACTGGAAAGTACTGGGCACGGCAGGACTGTACTCTCAGTGAAGTACTGGGCACTGCAGGACTGTACTCTCAGTGAAGCTGCTGCACACACGCAAGTTCCCCAACAACATGCACCAGGTATTAGAGAGTGGAGGGGAGCCATATCCCAAGGGAGAATCAACCCTGTTATTAAGGTAAAAAGCCCCAAAGCACAAAAATGTTACAAAGCAACTAGCCTAAAGCAAACACGACTGTCCTGAGTCCACCAGGTCCACAAGACAGAACCCAGCCGGCAACAACTGACAGTTTTACAAATTCCAACATGGAGAGACAGGTGAGGCTATCACTTAAGACAGGCAGGTTGACGTGTACAAGCTCACAGCTGGGGCCTGAGCTCTAGAAGGCAGCAGTCACCATGCCCACAGAGAAACCCAGCTGCACTCACTTTATGATCGGGTTTTCAAACTGCTTTGCACATCTCCACTGGCGGATGCAGGACAGGCAGTAGGTGTGGCTGCAGCTGGAGAGAATGCCAAACCTCCTCTCAGAAGCAGATGCCTTCTCCAAGATCACCTCCATACAGATGCTGCACACTTTGTCCTGGCTTGCCTGGAAGGCAAAAGCCTTTTCCATCTCGTGTTCAAATGTCGACATACACATCTGAGGACGACAGAGAGGAACCCAGGAGTTGCTCAGTTACATAGTCACAGGACCGTGTAAAAACAGTACCCATAGTCCCTGAATTCAGGACACAAAGATCTGACCACAAAGTGGACCTCAAGCCACCTTGTCCTTGTCCCAAGTTCCCTAGTAGGATATGATCACTACCAGCTTACAGCCATGGAGTTCTACAACACTTAGATCACTGTGGGAATTGCAGCATTCATGAGCACTGGGTCACAGGTCTCCTGGCTCTTCTGGATGTCATGCCTATTCTATGCCATACCAATCCAGTAAATGTTAAGTAACTGTGACCCAGCTGAGTGAATTCAAGTGAATGAAGGCAGATGAGAAGACCCAAATCCCTGCTTTGAGTGAGTGCACACAGCAGTGCCCTCTGCACACGAATAAAGAACAGAACCAATCTGATTTCTGCAGCTTGCTAGCCCACTGTCCCATGGAGGCTGGACTGCCAGGAATGCTGTCTGCTGGCATGTGCATTAGCAGCCCTCCTGGGATATAGGCCTCCTCTGTCAAGAGAGGTCATGACCATTTTATCCCACTGGGTAATTACCACGTCCTTACAAGAGGTGACCTGGACTCTAACACTGTAACCCTGGAATGAGCACAGCCTAATGTGAGACAGCCTCTAGATACCAGGGACATTCACAACCTTTCAACATTTGGCTCCAAGAGTCCATGATAAAAGGGACTAAAGAGATGGCACAGCAGTTAAGAGCTCTTGTTGCTCTTCCAAAAGACTTGCATTTGGGATCCTACTCTCATTGGGCAGGTTCAACAACTGCCTCTAACTCCAGTTCAAGATTCTACACCTCTCTCACCCTATAGGTACTCACACGCGTATGCATACACGCACAGATATTCAGGCACACAGACACACACAATTAAAAGAAAAGTCCACGATAAAGGTTTTTCAAAGTTTCCAAAATATTGGCTGCCTGGAGCCCCACCACAGAGATGTGTAAACCTAGGGAGGGAGGGTGAGAGACTGGGTGCTGCGTGGTACAGAGGGCAAACACAGGCATACGCACTCCTGAGTGGGGATTGCTTTCTATACTTTGCATTTCTTTTACTCTGAGTTTTCTCAAAGAATATACTCAATGTTCTGTGAAATGAACACATTGAAGCTTCTTTTTAAAAAATTATTTTTCAGCCGGGCGGTGGCGGCACACGCCTTTAATCCCAGCACTCGGGGAGGCAGAGGCAGGGGGATCTCTGTGAGTTCAAGGCCAGCCTGGTCTACAAGAGCTAGTTCCAGGACAGGCTCCAAAGCTACAGAGAAACACTGTCTCGAAAAACAAAACAAAATTATTTTTATTTCTTTTTAATTTTTATTTCATGTGCTTCCATGTTTGCCTGCATGTATATCTGTGTGAGAGTGTCAGATCCCCTGTAACTGGAGTTACAGGCAGTTATGAGCTGCCATGTGGGTTCTGGGAATTGAACCCGGATCCTCTGGAAGAACAGCCAGTGCTCTTAACTGCTGAGCCATCTCTCCAGCACTACTTTGCATTTCTTAAAGCTTAATGATTTATCTCATCACTATTACTCGTGTGTGTGCGTGCGCACATGTGTATGTAAACGAGGTTCTTGTGGAAGTGAGGAGAGCATGTCAGCAGTGGGCACTGGGAAGCCAATGCTGGTCTTCTGCAAGAGCAGCAAGTATTCTTAATTGCTGAGCCATCCTTCTTTGTCCTAAATAATCAAAAAACTGATAAAACAGCAACAGGAAAGGAACTTGGAAACAGTAAAACTAAGTCAGATACACAACACGGGCATTCTGGCAGAAAGATAGTCTCTGAGACTCCTGATCTGTCCCATGGTACATTCAGGTTTCTTAAAATGAGTTCATGCTAAGGTTTTCAAGTTACCTTCTCATGAGCTTTTCTTTGTTCTGGGTCAAAGGGGTGTAGGACTTGAAGCCTGCAGATCTCACACATGTCCCCATGCAGGTAGACACAGGCATCTCCAAACCGGCACTCCCCAGCAGCAGCATATGGGCACAACTGCTGCTCACTGCTATAGGAGCTGCTGGCCTCCAAGTCGTCCAGGCCACTCCTGATGGCATCTAGATAGGAATGGGGCTTCGTCTCTGGGCTGGTCTGAGGGTCACTGCAGCCACCTGGATTATTCACTGTGCTCGGGAGAGTCTTGTCTTCAGCCAGGCCAGTGAGATCTCAACACAAAATGCACACATACACACACATGAGAAAAGGCTCACCTTTCATGTAGGTACTAGTCCAAATTAGGAACAGTTAGAGAAAAGTAGACCACAGAACAACAGTGCAGAGGCTGGGAGATGGCCCAGGCAGTCAAGGGCTGGCCATCCAGAACAAAAGAATGAGGTCTTTTTATACAGAACGCAAAGTTGTCAATATACAGACCATTTAATGCTTAAACCCCAAAACATGAGGTCCTGAGGGGAACAAGCCCAAGAGCTAGGAAACTTTCCTGAGGCCCAGCAGCACAAAAGCCTTTACCACTTGACAACTTCTTTCTCACAAACCTAGTCTCGGCCCAAACCCCTTCCTTGCTCTGTGTCTGAAAATGCTCCTAAAGCAGTCACTACCAGGACATGACATCAAACAAGAGAAAAGTGACATGTCTCTCGCATAAAATGCCAGCTTCAGTCTGGCATAGCTTTAATCCCAACCCTCAGGAGGGAGAGGCAGGTAGATCTCTAAGTTGAAGTCCAGCCTGGTCTACAAAGAGTGTTCCAGGACAGCCAGGGCCATAGAGAGAAACCCCGTCTCAAAAGACCAAAAACACGCAAAACAAAAAGACCCAGCTAGCTTCAAAATGAACAGCGTCTCATCAGTAGTGGGTGACCCCTGTAAGAGGCAATTTTACAGTGAGAAAAGACCACTCTGACGGGCCCAAAGTGAAGCTCAGCCCAGCTGTGGAGATGCACCTCTGAACCTCTGCAGCCTGTTTTCAGGTCAACTCTGGGTCCTGGGGTGCCAGGAGCTTCCTGATGAGGAAGCGTGGCAGCACTAAACCACACATTCTGCTTTCCCGGAGGCAGCAAAGGCTGCATTCACTCACTGCGGTCTCTGAGCACCAGCATCTTCTTCTCCCGCTTCCCTGGTTCATGCAAATGTGTTCTCGTAACAGATGTGGCGATCTCAGGAGAAGGGTGAGGATTGGACAAGCTTGAGGAGGGCACAGGGTGGGGTGCAGGGCCTACAGCTCCACCTGCTGCAGCTGGGGGCTTCGTATGGTCATATCTGAACAAGACACAACAATGTATCATGGTCATGCAGGCCCAAACACCTACATATCCCCCCCCCCCCCCAAACACTACCTATACTCCCAGCCACCAACAACTGGACTCACTGAGGTGGACAGGGTCTATTTCTTTACTCTTAACCAGAAAAGTCTTTTGGAGTCATTTAACCTGCTACTTATACCCACAGCTAAGTGTCCCAGTAAGACTGACAAGAATCCACCCACTGTCCAGGTCATCTAAAGAGAGCCTCTGACACTTACACTACCAGGAGGCGTTTTGGGTAGGAACTCCAGGATATACTGACTGGAGTGGGTGGATGGGTTGGGGAATAGCCGGTGGCTGACTCAAGCTCTAGAGTTCTGCACACAGCAAGGACTAACTGAGGTCTGTTCTTCAAAGCATGGAGCATCTCAGTGTTGTCCCGCCCAGAGCAACATGGGCTGTGTGTGCATGAATGCCATTAGCCTCCACACCAGAATCACTCAAGCATGAACTGGAAATGGCTTTAAAATAAATGGCACGCCACCTTATGACACAAAAAACCCCCGATGAGGAGATGGGCTGGTGTGTTGGGAGTCTCCTCTGTATGCTGTGAATACCATTGGTTAATAAAGGACTGCTTTGAGCCCATAGCAGAGCAGGGCAGAAAGAGCTAGGTGGGGAAAACAAAACTCAATGCTGGGAGAAAGGAGGCAGAGTCTGAGGAGAAGCCATGGAGCTGCTGCTGGAGACGGACGTGCTGAAGCTTTGCTGGTAGGCCATGACCTTGTGGTGATGCACAGATTAACGGAGATGGCTTAAATTAAGATGTAAGAGCTATTTTGTTTTGTTTGTTTGTTTTGGTAGAAAAAGACAAGATCTCCTGAGTAAATTGGGAGCATGGGGACCTTGGGAGAGGATTGAAGGAGGGAGGGGAGAGGCAGGAATGGGAGCAGAGAAAAATGTAGAGCTCAATAAATATCAATAAAAAAATGTATATAAAAAAGATGTAAGAGTTAGCAAATAAGAAGCTAGAGCTAGTAGGTCAAGCAGTATTTTCAATAATATAGTTTCTGTGTGATTATTTTGGGGCTGAGCAGCCAGGAACCAAGAAATGGCCCCCCCGCCAACACTGGTGGCAATGGGAAAGTCTATGGTGTGTTATATAGGGTTTAAAAGAAAAATACCAATTATTAATATTCTAAGTACAATTTTAAAACTTCCCCTCATTAAGACCACGCTCAGGAAGTATGTATATGGCATACACCTGTGTTCCCACCACTACGGTTAGAGCAGAAGCTCAAAGCCAGCCTTGGCTACATAGCAAGTTTGAAGTCAGCCTGGGAGGCATAAAACTGCCAACAAAACCAATCACAAGCCCCATTCTGTAGGGATAAGTCCCGCCCCTTAAGGGGCGTGTTCGCCTCGGGCTAATGTCTGCCTATAAATTTGGCGAGCAAGCTCCGAGCTCTCGCTTCTGCTTTCCTGGTCTCCGCGGGAACGGTGGTTCTGTAAGTCTATTTCTACATTAAAGCTATATATATATATTTTTACACTCTGTCTGCATTCATTTACGCCGTTACATTTTGGCGTCCAACGTCGGGCTATTTTGCCCCCGACTCAAGCGGGTAGCCCGCTAGCTAACACAGCACCCTCCCCGGTGCTGTTTTTCAGTTCGTGACTCCGGCCCCAGTGCCGAGTCCGAGACACACTCGGCGACACAGGCCCATTCTGCCTGCCTTGGCTAAGTTTTGCAGCGGAACCCCACTGCCTGAACCCCACTGCCTGAAGCTCAAGTACTTGCGGTTTTGCAACAAAAGCTGCCACAGCGTCAGATTTGGTCTGTTACAAAGTGACTTGGCCGGTTGTGGTGGCCCACGCCGGTAGGATTTGCTGAAGGAGGCAGAGGCAGGAGGATCATAAGTTTGAGGCCGGCCAGGCAGTGGTAGAGCACGCCTTTAATCCCAGCACTTGGGAAGCAGAGGCAGGCAGATCTCTGTGAGTTTGAGGCCTGCCAGGCCTTGGTAGTGCACGCCTTCTATCCCAGCACTTGGGAGGCAGAGACAGGCGGATCTCTGTGAGTTCAAGGCCAGCCTGGTCTACAAGAGCTAGTTCTAGGACAGGCTCCAAAAACACAGAGACCACCACTGGCAGGAACCGATCTTTGCAGGTAAAAAAATTTTCTTTTATAAATAAAATGTCTGAACACATTACTGTTCAAGAATTTAATGATTTTTTTAATTGTACCATGTGGGAGATTTTACAAGAGGTGTCTATCACCCCACATATATGGATCCTTCTGGGATTCGTAGTTTTCATTGGCACCAAATGGTTTGATAATAGAAATATGATAAAGTCTTTACGAGACGAATCCAGGATTCTTAAGGCAGAGATTGAACGCTTAAAAACAATTGAGAATGACAACAATCTTCTCAAGAATCAGTTTGAAGTTCTCCAGGCTGATAACAATCTTCTCAAGAATCAGGTTGAAGTTCTCCAGACTGATAACAATCTTTTCGAGAATCAGTTTGAAGTTCTCCAGGCTGATAACAATCTTCTCAAGAATCAGGTTGAAGTTCTTCAGGCTGATGTTAAGGAGAAATTCATTACTATGGAAGAGGGAACAGCTGATCTGGACCATAAGATTCAGTCCCTTTCTGTAGGAAATGAAACATTAACTGAGAGAATCAAAACTGCTGAATGTGACAATCGGATTTTGTCTAAAGCTTATGACAGATTGACGGAAAGATTGTCAATACAAGAAGGCACGGTTTATGCCATAAAAATTATGTCCAAAGATGAGATGTTATCTCTAACGGACAAACTTCATATTTTAGAATCCTCAATGAAGGCTTTGGAACATAATTCTGGACAGGAGATTCAGACATTGCAGAAAGCAATGGTGAATAGAATTGAAAAGATTGAGGAATTTCTAAATTCTGATGAGGAAGAGCAAAGGGTAGAAAGGAAAATTTTAACTACATCTGTGGGTAAGTCTCTCCGGGACAATTTCCACAAAGCTCTACCTACAGCTCTACCTGCCTTTCCAGTAATAACAACAGAGAAGGTGATTGGTTCCAAAAACCCTAGGGTCATCAAGGAGGATACATGGGAACCTGTGCGTATGAATGATCTCAAGGAAATAAAACAGGCTGTCATGACTTTTGGGATGCAAGCCTCTTTTGTTAAAGAGATGCTAAGATCTTGGGCCACGACAAGCAGAGCAACCCCCTCAGACTGGCTCCAGCTGAGCTCTGCAGTACTCGAGAGTGGACCGCAATTGAAATGGAAATGCTTATTCAGGCAAGAGGCTAGACTCTTAGAACAGCAGGAAAAAGCGAAGGGAATTGACATTTCCCTAGATCAAATTCTAGGTGAAGGGCCCTTTTCTGATCCTCAGGAACAAGCTAATTTGGATGAAAACACACTCTCCATGTGTACTACAGCAGCCTTAAGGGCTTGGGACAGGGTACAAGACCCAGGACAGAGAATGGAATCATTTGTCAGAGTTAAACAGGGTCAAAGAGAACCCTTTAGTGACTTTTTACAAAGATTAACTAAGGCTGTACAAATAGGAATATCTGACCCAGAAGCAAGACGTATAATGATTGAGTCTTTGGCTTATGAAAATGCAAATGTGGAATGCAAAAGGATTTTGGGTCCTTTAAAGCTCAGATCAGCGCCGTTGGAAGAATGGGTCTTGCATACACTCAATGTTGATACATTTGATTATGGCACTGAAGCATGGGTAGAAGAAGCAATTTCCAATGGTAAAAGGAGACACCAGAATACCAAATGTTTTAATTGTGGAAAAATGGGTCATATTAAAAGGAATTGTAGACAACGGATTTTCAGAAATAATAATAATAATAATAATAATAATAATAATAATAATGCATCTTTCAGAAATAATAATAATAATGCATCTTCTAGAAATAACAGAAATAGGAGGACTCAGCCTTCAGGTTTATGTAGAAGATGTGGAAAGGGCAGACATTGGACGAATGAATGCAGGTCTACAAGAGATAGACAAGGCAACCTGATACAGCCGGGAAACGTGAGAGGGGGGGCCTCACAGGCCCCCATGGCAAACATGGTTCAGTCATATCCAGTTTCTGCAGAGAACGTGCCTCATCAGGACAATTAGGAAGCCCCATGCCTACTGTTACAAGCAATAATGATCAGAAAGATAAGTTACGTGTGTTTTGGCAAACTTCTATAAATGATCAAAGACCTAAACTGAGAGTGTGTGTAAATGGCATTTTTATTACTGGCCTGCTGGACACAGGTGCTGATGTAAGTATCATTACCCCAGAATCTTGGCATCCGTATTGGCCTCTTCAGAATGTAAATGTTCAGCTCCTGGGAATTGGAACCCTATCTCGAGTAAGGCAGAGCACGAGATGGGTTGAATGTATAGGGCCAGAGGGACAAATAGGAAAATTAAAGCCATATGTAGCCAATATCGCAATGAATTTATGGGGTCGTGACCTATTACAACAATGGAATACTGAAATTAACATTCCTGCTAAATCTAGAGCCTATATTTCTGAGAATAATATTAAAAGATATTACAAACGGAGAAAACCGGCCATTCGGGCTGTACAAGAACAAGCAATTGATGTCCCTTCAGAGATACCAACAGCCTTGCCTCTAAAATGGTTGACTGAGAAACCAATATGGACAAAGCAATGGCCTTTAGCTGAGGAAAAGTTACAGGCTTTAGAACAGCTGGTACAAGAACAATTAGATGCTGGACATATAGAAGAGTCTACCAGCCCTTGGAATTCTCCTGTATTTGTGGTTAAGAAAAAATCAGGTAAATGGAGAATGGTGACAGATCTCAGGGCCATCAACAAGGTTATTCAACCTATGGGCCCTCTGCAATCTGGAATTCCTTTGCCCTCTTTATTACCAAAAGGATGGCCTCTCATAGTTATTGATTTAAAGGATTGTTTTTTCACTATACCTTTGCAAAAAGAAGATAGAGAAAAATTTGCATTCACAGTGCCTACTTACAACAATTCTCAACCTTCGAGGAGGTACCACTGGACCGTTCTCCCCCAGGGTATGTTAAATAGCCCCTCCCTGTGCCAATATTTTGTGAACCAACCATTGCAAATAATACGCAAGAAATTTCCCAAATCTATAGTATACCATTACATGGACGACATCTTGTTATCCGATTCAAACATGGATACCTTGAACAGACTGTTTGAAGAAATAAAGATACTTTTACCTAAATGGGGATTGCAATTAGCTCCTGAAAAGATTCAGAAGGGAGATTCTGTTAATTATTTAGGTTATAAAATAGGTTTGCAAAAAATTAAGACACAAAAAGCACAAATTAGGAGAGATCGCCTACGGACTCTTAATGACTTTCAAAGACTGTTAGGAGACATTTCCAGTCTACGACCAGCTATTGGAATAACACCTGATTTAATAATTCATTTGAACAAAACCTTGGATGGTGATAAAGATTTAAACAGTCCCAGAGAATTAACAGCTGAAGCAGAAAAGGAACTGACAATGATTGAGGAAAAATTACAACAGGCACATGTGGACAGGGTGAATCCAGAGCTCGATTGTATTCTCGTCATACTACCATCAAAAATTTCTCCTACAGGAATTTTAATGCAGAGAGATGATATTATTTTGGAATGGATCTTTTTACCACATAAACCAAGTAAGAAACTGAAAACTTATGTGGAAAAAGTCTCTGAGTTAATTATAAAAGGCAAGCTGAGACTTCGTCAACTAGCAGGCATAGACCCAGCAGAAATTATAGTGCCTTTCACTGCTGATGAACTAAAGAAATTATGGGAAGATAATGAACCATGGCAAAGAGCTTGTGCTAATTTTTTGGGAGACATTAATAACAACTATCCAAAAAGCAAGCGGCTTAACTTCATAAAGAGAACTTCTTGGATTCTTCCTCGAATCGTCCGTGATGCTCCAATAACTGGAGCCCGTACATTCTATACTGATGCCAATAAATCAGGGAAGGCAGGTTACAAATCAGAAGACTTGGATAAGGTGGAACAAAGTCCGTATACTTCTGTCCAGAAGGCGGAATTATATGCCATTCTTATGGTGCTAAGGGATTTTAAAGAACCTATTAATATAGTTACAGATTCACAATACGCAGAAAGAGTTATTTTACATATTGAAACTGCTGAATTTATACCTGATGATACTGAACTAACCTCATTGTTCCTCCAGGTTCAAGATTTGATCAGGAACAGGCTTTGCCCTATATATATATAACACACATCCGATCCCATACGGGTCTGCCAGGTCCTCTAGCACAAGGTAATGCAGAAATTGATCAATTATTGATTGGTAGTGTGCTACAAGCCTCTGAATTTCATAAAAAACATCATGTTAATAGCAAAGGTTTGAAGAAAGAGTTTTCAATTACATGGCAACAAGCTAAGGAGATTGTAAAGAAATGCCCTACTTGCTCTTTCTATAACCAAACGCCACTGCCTGCAGGGGCTAATCCAAAGGGCACCCAAAGGAATGAAATCTGGCAGATGGATGTGTTCCACTTTGCAGAATTTGGCAAATTAAAATATGTACACCACACCATAGACACATATTCAGGTTTTCAATGGGCTACTGCCCTGAGCTCAGAAAAGGCTGATTCAGTAATCACACATTTATTGGAAGTTATGGCCATCATGGGTATACCTGCGCAAATAAAGACAGATAATGGTCCAGCATATGTATCTAAGAAAATGAAACGCTTTTTTGATTATTATAATATAAAACACATTACAGGTATACCAAATAATCCTACAGGTCAGGCAGTTATAGAAAGATCAAATCGTACTATAAAGGATATGCTGAACAAACAGAAAGGGACTGAAAATACCCCCAGAAATAGATTACATAATGCTTTATTAACCTTGAATTTTCTTAACGCTAATGAGAAAGGAACGACAGCAGCAGAAAGACATTGGATAATGGAAAAGTCTGCTGAACTAAATCAACCGATTTATTTCAAAGATGTGCTGACCTCTCAGTGGAAGCCAGGAGATGTGCTACGTTGGGGAAGGGGTTTTGCTCTTGTTTCCACAGGAGAAGAAAAATTGTGGATACCATCAAAATTAATAAAGTTTCGATTTGAAGAGGAGAAACCTCTTGGAAAGGAGAAATGACAACTCATCCACAACGATGATATTCATACAGGTGGTAAGAAAAACATATAGAATGGGGGCAGGGTTCTGTTCTTATCTCCACAGGAAAACACTCATCTTTGAGAAATTCAAGGGACCCTGGAAGTTTGGATACTGACAGATGGAAAAATACCTGCCCAATAGGAAATATCAAGAAAACTGAATGGGTTGTGTAAGTAATATTAAACCATATTTCTAAATTTATAAAGCTGGTTTTGAAGTTGGACTCTGGCTCAGTCCCTCTCCAATTCCAAGCCTGTTAGTAAGAGAAAAACCCAGAGTTTCTGGAGTTTCTGTCTCATGTCAAGAGCCATGATATGGGACAGAAAGAAATATGAGTTTAGAAAACATCTTTGCTTTTCTTCATATCTATCATACTTTTCATTGAATATATCTATCATGTCTTTCATTGAATATATATATATATATATGTCTATATGATTAATGTTTAAGTTTTTCATAATGAACAATGAGTTTTTCCTGAAGTGACATTTGAAGTTTCCAGGAAGAAGATGGGGCCCCATAACAACAACTCCACCTGGTTGATATGACGTCATGATACTGATAGCGCTACTACAAGACCTGCTTTTGGTACCAGCTGCACAAGACAGTTCCAACTTGGTTAGCTGAAATGGTGCACATCTTATACAACATTTTGGCCAGACCTGCACGAAAATACTCAGAGACTATTTGCAATTTTAAAAGACATTATCTTGAAATTTAACCATCATTTTACTTTCACAGGATCCCCCAGAAAGAACGTCGCCCCTATGACAGCTGGAAGTAATTCTAGAGAACGACATCCCCTCTCCCAGTAAAGTTTGCCCTTGGGTTTAGGGACATCATTTAGGGGTTGATTATAATTAGTATATGATTGAGGGTTGGGAGAGGAATTTTATAAGCTCAAGGATCATTTTGAAAAAAAAAAAAAAGAAGGAATGATGGGATAATAGATTTATAATTGTGAGTTACTGCTTTTAGACAAATATATTGGTATCAATTCTTGTATAATGAAACAAAGTTAAATTATATGGACTATTGTACGCATGCATGTTTCTACCTCTGTTTAAAACATTTTTATGTATTGACATATATTGTATTGATATATATATTGTATATATTTACCATATTGCAGTGTACATTTCTACCTCTGATTAAGATACTTATATAATATTTGTGTATTGATATATATTTACCTACTGCAATGTATATTTGTACATTGTTTATATTTGGAGGTCATTGTCCTCATTTGTTTCACAGTCGTTTATTGTCTTAGTCTTTAAGTTAGATAGATATTGAGAATTATATAGATTAATTGTCATCTAAGTTTGTCATTTATAATTAGACTAATCAGGTTCTTTAGATATATAGAGATTATACTCAGTATAGATAGATAATCTTCAACCTCTTCAAAGAGCTGTAGAAAATGGCCTTTAATCTAACTCAGAGTTTCGTGATAGTGAGACACAATTGCTCCTGGCAACACCGCTCTATTCCCGAGAGAATGTTGAGCACCAAAAACACTCCATCTGGAGCCTTTCTATTTGGCAGAACTGGCCTTTGGGCAAAGAAATGCCCATACCTCAACCACTGACACAGATACAGAGCGTGCATCAATGGATAAAACAGGACTGTCATATCCTGCCAAGACAGGGTAAGATAGTTTTGAAAAGTTCCTTGCCTTTAATAATGGTATGTCAGTTATGTTAGGCCTTAGCCAAAATTGGTTGACTCAACGTTGCAAACGAGACTTTGGGTGATTGCCCAGGTAGTCAGTTGTCTCTGTCAATTGTTGCACATTTTGGATATTTCTCGTTTGTTGAGTAGTGTTTATTCCCTTCTCAGATCTTTGACTGAGTTGAAGATTATATAATTGTAGTTACTCTTTACATTATTTGGACTTCTTGAGATAGAATGTTTAGCAAAGCTTTTGTTCTCAATATTGTTTGTTGTATTTATTATTTGTTGTTATTGTATGTAGTTGTATTTGGTTTAGTTCTGTCTTATTTAGACAAAAAGGGGAGATGTAGGGATAAGTCCCGCCCCTTAAGGGGCGTGTTCGCCTCGGGCTAATGTCTGCCTATAAATTTGGCGAGCAAGCTCCGAGCTCTCGCTTCTGCTTTCCTGGTCTCCGCGGGAACGGTGGTTCTGTAAGTCTATTTCTACATTAAAGCTATATATATATATTTTTACACTCTGTCTGCATTCATTTACGCCGTTACACCATTCTCCACACACAGCTTCACTTCAGTAGCCACAGTCGTGGCAGCCTTACCTGCAGCGTGCACCATAGGCGCAGTAGCCCTTCTGGTAGTATTTGCAGATGGTGGATGGCTTGCTATTCGCCAAGTCATGTGAGAACAGGCACTGGCTGCCTTCGCGACACACGCCATGCATAAAATACCTGAGGAGACAAAGAACAGCTGAGTCACGCCTTGGGGAAAGCGGCTTCTCAAGAACTACATGCCAGCCCCACACATACTGTGCTCTTTTCCTTGATTCTAAACAAAGTGATTTTCTACGCACCACAATGACCCAAGACTAGCTCTTCAGAAGAAAAACGATTCCAAATGTTTCTATATTAGGGGCTGGAGAAATGTTTAGTGGTTACTAGCACTTGCTATTTTTGTAGGAGTCAGTCTCTGTTGCCAGCACCCATATCTTAGCTAATAACTATCTGAATCTGATGCCCCCCTCCTCTGGTTTCTTTCATCACTGGATGTGTGTGGTGCATAAAAATATATGCAAGTAAGCATTCATACACAGAAAATATCTTCCAAAAACCCGTCTACATGGATAAGCTCTTGATTTATGTTAAATATGTGAGATATAAGTTTCACAATTGGGAAAACATGTTAGGAAAACCCACTCTCCCCATCCTCCCAGAGCTCTGGGAGTTAAAAGATGTCTGACTGGGCTCAGGCCAGGTCACAAAGCCCTCCTCCCTATCCTTGCTGATTCACCTGTTAACGTGGAGAGAACACCACCTACTGCTTCATGAAGCTGTTACAGTCAGCCCGAGACAGTGTGGCGTCAGACAATATACGTGATGCCGGGCATGGTGGCACACGTCTGAAATCTTATCACTCTTATGACACTGGGGATTTAGCTCTGTTTGTAGGATGCTTGCCTAGCATGTTCTAAGACATGAGTTCCACTCCCAGCACAGAATAAATCAGATGTTGGGGTACATGCCTAGAGTCCCAGCACTCAGAAGAGCCAGGAGGATCAGAAATTGAAGGTCATCCTTAGCAACATAACAAATTTGAAGCTAGCTTAGACACGAGATCTTGACTTAAAGAAAAACGGCTGGATGGTGGAGGCGAACAACTTTAACCCCAGCACTAGGGAGGCAGAGGCAAGGGGATCTCTGTGTGCTTAAGGCCAGCCTGGTCTACAGTGAGTTCCAGGTCAGTCAGGGCTTCACAGAGAAAACCTGTCTCAAAAAAACAAAACAGAGGTCTAGAGCAGTGATTCTCAACCTGTGGGTCATGACCCTTTTTGGGGGGGTCACATCATCATACATCCAATATATCATATACTTACATTATTATTTGTTAACAGTAGTAAAATTAGTTATGAAGTAGCAATAAAATAATTTTATGGTTCATGTCATCACAACATGAGGAACTACATTAAAGGGATGCATTGGTAGGAAGGTTGAGAATCACCGGTCTAGAGAGATAGCTCAGTGGTTAAGAACTCTGGCTGCTCTTCCAGAGGACCTGGGTTTGATTCCCACCCAACACTGACATGGCATTACAATTCCAGGGGGACCTGACACACAGGCTTCCTCAGGCACTGCATGCATATGGTGCGCAGTCATACATACAGGCAGATCACATATAATATACACATATAAATAGAAGTAAAAAGAAAAGGAGAACCAGAGTGTACACTGGGCACAAGGGATAGTTCTGGGATGGTGGACATAACAACATATATTCAAACTTAACTACTGACAACACTAAAAAACAAAACAAAACAAAAACCAGGGCTGGAGAGATGGCTCAGAGGTTAACAGCACTGGCTGCTCTTCCTGCATTCACAAGGTGGTTTAGAACCATCTATAATGAGATCTGGTGCGCCCTCTTCTGGCCTCCAGGCAGAACACTATATCCAGTTGGACACACAAAACAGGATATGAGTGCCAGAGCATAGATTAATAGAAATGGATTAAAGTTGTAAGAGCTAGTTAGGAACAAGCCTAAGCTATTGACTGAGCATTTATAATGTATATTAAGTTCTCCAAATCAGTTATTTGGGAAGCTGCTGTCTATTATTTGAGAACTGGTGGTCAGGATAGAAAAACTCCATCTACAGATTATAAAACTGCATACAGTCAACTCACACCTTTAAAGATCAGTAGTACTCAGAAGGCAGAAGTAGGCTGATTTCTGTGAGTCAAGGCCAGTCTGGTCTACATAGCAAGTCCCAGATCAGCCAGGGCCACAAAGTAAAACTTGTCTCAAAAAGACTTAACAAAAGTTGGGTGTGATAGTGCACGCCTTGGATCCCAGCACTCTAATCTCTGTGAGCTTAAGGCCAGCCTGATCTACAAAAAGAGCTCCAGGACTATTACAGACAAACCCTGTTTCGAGAAACCAAAAGCAAGCAAACAACAACAAAACCCCCAAAACAAATAATAATAATAATCCATGCACAAAACCCACAAAAGCAGAATGTACCTATCATGGAATATTATTCAGCCTTAAAAGGGAAAACATTCCCAACTCAAAACCCCATGAGTGCTAAGTGACACAACAGATGCATGGGAGGTCTCTGAACAATTAAGTTCATCAAGGGAGAAAGCAGAGACTGTTGGCAGTTAAGGGGGAGACTGGAGTTCAACACGGTATTTCTGTTTCACAGGCTGTGCCCTGGAGATTGCTTACACAACTGTGAATGTACCAAAGCCACAGAACTGTGACATGCGTGCCCTGGCAAAGGCTAAGCTATCTAGATTCACTTTAGCATATGTTTTAGGGTCTCTGCTCCTATGATGCACACCATCAGCAAAAGCAATGCGAGGAAGAAAGGGCTTATTTCAGCTTCAATTCTCAGGCCACAGTCTAAACGCTGATGACTGGCCTGCTCACTGTTTCCTTATACTGCCCAGGGGTGGCACTGCCCACAATGAACTGGACTATCCACATTAATGACTAATCAAGAAAAAGCAGCAACAGGCTTGCCTACAGGCTAATCTAATGGCCACTCTAAAGACCATGTAACTCTAGTTTTAGTTAAGTTGACAAAAAACCATAAACCAAAAATCAACAACCAGGACATACAATAGTCTTTAAAAAAAAAAATTGCCATATACCACCAGGCAGTGGTGGCACATGCCTTTAAACCCAGCACTTGGGAGGCTCAGGCGGGCAGATCTTTGTGAGTTCGAGGCTGGCCTGGTATACAAAGCGAGTTCCAGAACAGTCAGAGCTTTTACACAGAGAAATACTGTCTCAAAAAGAAAAAAAGAAAAAGAAAATTTGCCATATACGGGATCTCATTTTGTTTAAAAATATTATAAACATACACTAGTATGCTAAAACTAGTAATCCTTGGAAGTATTGAACTGTCTACTGTCTACGATAAGGGGCACTTACAGAAGGGTTAAAGAGGGTGGGATAGATTCAATGCAATGCCCATCAAATCTTAGCAAAATTCTTCAAAGACCTCGAAAGAACGGTACTTAACTTCATATGGAGAAGCAAAAAACCAAGATAGCCTAAACAATCCTGAACAATAAAAGAACTTCTGGAGGCATCACAATCCCTGACTTCAAACTCTACTACAGAGCTACAGTACTGAAAACAGCCTGGTATTAACATAAGAAGAGACAGGAGGACCAATGGAACTGAATAGAAGACCCGGATATCAATCCGCACATCTTCGAACACCTGCTTTTTGACAAAAAAGCAAAAAATATCAAATGGGAAAAAGAAAGCATATTTAACGAGTGGTGTTGACATAACTGGATAGCAACATGTAGAAGAATGAAAATAGACCCATATCTATCACCATGCATAAAACTCAAGTCCAAATGGATCAAAGACCTCAACATAAATCCATCCACACTGAACCACAAAGAAGAGAAAGTGAGAACAGCTTTGAATGCATTGGCACAAGAGATCACTTCCTAAATATAACCCCAGCAGCACAGACACTGAGAGAAACAATTAATAAATGGGACCTCCTGAAACTGAAAAGCTTCTCTAAAGCAAAGGACATGGTAAACAAGACAAAACGACAGCCTACAGAATGGGAAAACATCTTCACTAAACCCACATCAGACAGAGGTCTGATCTCCAAAATATACAAAGGACTCAAGAAATTGAACACCAAAAGATCACATAATCCAATAAAAAAAAATGGAGTACAGACCTAAACAGAGGGATCTAAAATGACTGGAAGACACTTAAGGAAATGTTCAACATCCTTAGGCATCAGAGAAATGCAAATCAAAACAACTCTGAGATTCCATCTTACAACTGTAAGAATGGCCAAGATCAAAAACAGTGATGACAACTTACGCTGGACAGGTTGTGGGGTATAGGGAACGCTTTTGCATTGCTGGTGGGAATGCAAGCTGGTACAACCACTTTGGATGTCAGTGTGGTGATTTCTCAGAAAATTAGAAAACAACCTTCCTCAAGACCCAGTAATACCACTTTTGGGTATATACCCAAAGGATGCTCAATTGTGCCACAAGGACTTGTGTTCAACTATGTTCATAGCAGCTTTGTTTGTCATAGCCAGAACCTGGAAACAACTTAAATGTCCCTTGACCAAAGAATGGATAAGGTACATTTACACAATGGAGTACTACACAGAAGAAAAAAATAACGACATCTTGAATTTTGCAGAAAAATGGATGGAGCTAGAAAACATTTTTTAAAATAAGAATTATTTATTTACTGTGTATACGTTGTTCTGCCTGCATACCAGGAGAGGGCAACAGATCTCATTATAGATGGTTGTGTGGTGCGGGAGAATTGTCTGTATTCTGTCAATCATATTTTGAATAAACACTGGCCAGGCAGGAAGTAGAGGCAGGGCAATGAGAACAGGAGAATGCTGGAAAGGAGGAAGCCGATTCCTCTCCCATTCCTGCCCAGACCACCGAGAAGCAAGATGTAACCTGCCTGGCTGAAAGGTATTGAGCCATGTGACTAACATAGATAAGAATAATGGGTTAATATAAGCTACAAGAGCTAATAATAAGATTGAGCTAATGGGCCAATCAGTTTATAATTAATGTAGACTCTCTTGTGTGATTTTTCTCTGGGACTAAATGGCTGGGGGACCAGACAGGACAGAAGCCCCAACGAGCCCGGCCCTCATGTTACAGTTGTGAGCCACCATGTGGTTGCTGGGAATTGAACTCAGGACCTCTGGAAGAAC